AATGGGTGGGCCTGAGTTTATCGTACTGTGTCAATCACCATGAACGCTGAATGGGGGGGCCTGAGTTTATCGTACTGTATCGCTTGCCATGAACGCTGAATGGGTGGGCCTGAGTTTATCGTACTGTGTCGATCGCCGTGAACGCTGAATGGGTGGGCCTGAGTTTATCGTACTGTGTCAATCACCATGAACGCTGAATGGGGGGGCCTGAGTTTATCGTACTGTATCGCTTGCCATGAACGCTGAATGGGTGGGCCTGAGTTTATCGTACTGTGTCGATCGCCGTGAACGCTGAACGGGGTGGCCTGAATTTATCGTACTGTGTCGATCACCATGAACGCTGAATGGGGGGGCCTGAGTTTATCGTACTGTGTCGCTCACCGTGAACAATGAACGGGGTGGCCTGAATTTATCGTACTGTATCGCTTGCCATGAATGCTGAATGGGTGGGCCTGAGTTTATCGTACTGTGTCGATCGCCGTGAACGCTGAACGGGGGGGCCTGAGTTTATCGTACTGTGTCGCTCACCGTGAACGCTGAACGGGGGGGCCTAAATTTATCGTACTGTATCGCTCGCCATGAACACTGAATGGGTGGGCCCAGGACCAGGGCCGTTGCGACAGATTGTAATACAGTATTTACAGATCTATAGGACATTATTAGATTATGTAAATATTATATATACTTTCATAGTTATTTAAAGTCGCGTTTTAGTTTCTTTCTTTTTATTTTCCTTTATATGTAGTGGGGTAAATGGAAGCAATGTTGCACCTGTGCTCAGCTAGCCTTGCTAGCTAATGGCTGTGAACCTTTAATCTAGGTAACTAAGGAGGGGCGGTACCCATAGGAATGGCTGTATCACCTCTAATGGTGGATTGATTCAACAAGTAGCTGTGGGATTCAAGGCAAAAGCTTATACAGTTTATTGCAGTTACCGTTTGGTATATGGCACTGCACTCACTGAAAGGGCTAAGAATGAAAGTAGACAATCAAATTAGAATCAGACAAGAAGGTTTGTTTTTTTCTGTTGGCTGCTGGGGGTCCGGGTCTGGTGAGGACCCCTGTGGTGGTCCCTGGTTTGTGACAGGTTGAGGACCCCTGCTGTAGAGGAATCTGAGGGAGGGGTTTGTTTTGTGTGTGGCAGTGTTAGGATGGCTGTTTTCTTCTTCCGTGGTTTCGTTACTTAAAGTTGATACTCCACAAACAGGCTGATCCTCTGATTCTGCCCAAACCTGAACACTGCCTTCACCAACTGCTTAACCTCCCATTTGTCCACTCTCTCTGCTCTGCCCCCCCCCCCTCCAAATAGACACACTCTCTTCTGCTTTGTTCCTCACAATACAATACCACAGCATCAGCTTTCCACGCCCACACGGCTCTGCACCGTCACCCCACACCTTTCAGTATTTGGCTTCTCCGTCTTCCTTTCATCTCTCCAGTGCTGCTCCTCTTCCGGCCCTGCTGCCTGCCTGCGGTTGCTAACACACTGTGCTAACGGGCATGAGACAGGCTCTCCTCAGGCCTTCCGGGAGAGCTGCATTCTGGGAATCCAGCTGGCAGAACAGTCAGCCGGTTATTGCTCCACCCAGTGTTTTGCACTGTATCTATTTAAAGTTTGATTAAAGTGCTAAAATTTTGGTAGAAATATTAATTATGTTAGATATTTACCTTTTATAATTAATTTATCATATTTTTCATGACTAAAATTGACATTACACTTGTGGTAACAATCCTGTCTTCCTCTGCTAGAGTTGTAGCCTCCTTACTATAATACACAGAATATAAGGTTCACGATATTAAAAGCTTGTGTTCAATACTCAGCATATTAAAATGTGGCCCTGTGCCCGTTTCCCATACGCAGATCTTTGTTGCAAACCCCAACAAATCGGCAACGGTACTGGACATCCTGTTGAAAAACCAGAGCAAGCTGCTCGAGTTCCTCAACCGCTTTCAGATGGACCGGGCCGACGACGAGCAGTTCACCAACGAGAAGAACTACCTGATCAAGCAGATAAAGGAGCTGAAGAGGCCAGCGTCACCGGGAGATGTGTAGAGGGGGCGAGACAACCTGGACATCGCTGGAGGCATATGGAGAACAGAACAGAGCGACTGGGTGG